TCTCTTCTTTCTTCGATACAGTCTAGATCTAAGGATCGGGCTGCATCGTTTTCTCCTTCGACGTATCGACTCTCCCTTGGGCTCGCAATCCATGCTTCAACAGGTAGGCGTGCTTCGGCCCCATATACTAAAGCGAAGGGCGTTTCGCCGGTCGCCTCTCTCGGGGTGGTGCGGTATGTCCACAGGACAAACGGGAGCTCATCCGCCCATGACCAGCCGGCTGAGTGCAGTTTTTTCTTTAGACCCTCTAAGATCGTCCGATTAGCATTTTCCACTTGGCCGTTCCCCTGGGGGTATGCTACGGACGACCGGATGGATTTTGTGCCGATCGTTGCTAGGAAGTTTTTGAAGTGTTGGCCCTCGAACTGTCTTCCATTATCTGTAACAATCTGCACCGGCACCCCGAACCTTGAAACCACGTTTCGCCATATGAAACGGGCACACTGTTGTGACGTGATCGTCGCGAGGGGTTCCGCTTCCACCCACTTGGAAAAATAATCTATCGCAACTATTATGAATTTTCGTCGCCCCGACAGTTGGGGAAACGGTCCAACAATGTCTACCCCCCACCGCGCGAAGGGGATGGCTGTGCTGACCGGGTGGTAGAAGGTAGCCGGTCGTCCGGGCATCCTTGCAAATATTTGACAGGTCTCACACTCTTTGGTGAGCTTCTCACAGTCGAGCTGTATCGACGGCCAGTAGTATGAGCTAATGATCGCCCGCCCTGGTGGGATGAGCATATTCCTGCATGTAACTCGTCCATGACTAGTTTGGCTTCAAAGGCGGATAGACATCTCATAACCGGGCCCCCGTACGACCGTCTGTACAGCCGACCTTCCTGTATCTGGAACCTTGGTGCTCGGAGCTTGGCTTTTCGGGCTCTCGCCTCATCATCCAGGAGTCGACCGTCTTCCAAGTATCCCATTATATCGGTTATCCAATTTTCTTCGACCGGTTGAATCGGCAAGACTTGTCGGTGGTCGATGGAGGGGTACGGTACGACGAGGACCCGGGCTACTCGAGAGATATGCTCGGGTGCTTCCACGCTCAACTTCGAGAGGATGTCAGCGTCAGCGTTGTCCATCCGGGGAACATGTTGAACTGGCATACGTCCTGAAAGTGGTTAGACGTTCGATCGCTAGATCTCGGTAGCGTCCTAGTCGTTCGCCATTGACTTCAAAGTCTCCCAAAACTTGCCCGACTACCAGTGACGAGTCTGTTCGAGCCCTTACGCTTTCTGCGCCGAGGTCCCTTGCAAACTGCAATCCTACGACGAAGGCCTCATATTCCGCCTCGTTGTTTGTGGGAGAGAACTGGTAGATCAGAGCGTAGTAGACCTTGAATCCTTCAGGGCTCGTGATGACAACACCTCCTCCGGAGCCTTTCCGACTGCTTGATCCGTCGGTGGCGACTTCCCACCATGAAACATCTTGAACCTGCTGATCTGCGGTTGGGGTTTCCCTGGCTGTACATTCGGCGACGAAGTCTGCTAGCGCTTGTCCCTTGATAGCCGGTCGAGGCTTGTACTCAATGGTAAACTGTGTTAACATCATGGCCCATTTTACAAGGCGGCCGGAGGAAGAAGCCGTGCGAAGGACGGCTCCGATCGGTTGGTCGGTTAGCACTCGGATGACTCTGCCCTGAAAATAGGGGGTGAGTTTCTTTGCAGTCGTGTAGAGGCGAGTACCATCTTTTCGAGGCGGGAGTATCTGAGTTCCGGGCCTTGGAGGGCGTGGCTGACATAATATACGGTCGTTGTACACCGTCGGAATCCGTGCGGCATAGCGCAGCGCTCACAGCTCGGTCAGAGGCAGCCAGGTAGAGGTCAAGGTCTTCGCCCGGTTCGGGCTTGGAAAGGACGATCGGAGATATTAAGTATTCCTTCAATTCCTTGAATGCCGCCTGACACTCCTCATCCCACACAAATCCATTGACTTTTCTTAGTGTCTTGAAGAAGGGTAAAGCCTTTTCCGCCAGCTTGGATAGGAATCGACTGAGAGCGGCCAGTCTTCCGGTTAGTTGCTGGACTTCCCGGACTGTGGTGGGCGGTTGCATATCCAATATAGCTTTTACCTTAACCGGGTTGGGTTCGATTCCCTTCTTCGTCATCATGAATCCCAAAAACTTCCCGGTCTGGACGGCAAACGTGCATTTTGCCGGGTTTAGACGCAACCGGTAGGTGCGCATTACCTCGAAACATGCTCGAAGATCCCGCGCGTGGTCCGTCCGATCTTTACTTTTGACGAGCATGTTGTCCACATACGCTTCCATCGTTCGACCAAGCTGTCCTTCGAACAAGGCGTTGATCATCCTCTGATACGTGGCCCCGGCATTCCGTAGTCCGAACGGCATGACTCTATAACAGAAGAGTCCGTCTGGAGTCACGAAGGACGTTTTGGCTTCATCTTCCTCGGCCATCAAAATCTGATGGTACCCTCTAAATGCGTCCATGAAGCTCATGAGGTCCGCCCCAGCTGTGTCATCGACCATTTGGTGTATGCTCGGTAGGGGTATGGGTCCAACGGGCATGCCTTGTTCAGGTCTGTGTAGTCGATGCACATCCGCCATGTTGGTGGTTTGGGCACTAAAACAACATTGGCGACCCAATCGGGATAAACGACCAGTCGGAGGTGGCCGATCTCGGTGAGGGTTTTGACTTCATTTCTGACAAACTCCCGGCGGTCATTGGAGAGATGCCTTGTCTTCTGTTTCACTGGTCGTGCTGTCGGGCTAACAGCCAACCGGTGGCATATCACTGTCCGGTCCACTCCTGGCATGTCCTCCGGTCCCCATGCAAAGATGTCTGAGAACTCTCTTAGTACGAATAAGACAGCTTCCTTGATCGCCGGGGGGAGCTGCCGTCCAATGCGGATCGTCCTTTCCGGGCGGTCGGCTTGTATGGGGACCTCTTCGACCTCATCCGACGGTTCCGGCTGTTCCTTCCGTTCAGCTTCCGCTTTCTTGGAGATTGAATTTACTTGGGAATTCCAGGCCTCCTTTCTGTCGATTGCCTTTTGGTAGCACTTTCGGGCTGATCGGACGTCTCCTCGGACGACCCCTACTCCTTCGGGGGTTGGGAATTTCATGCATAAGTGGGGCATGGAGATAATTCCTCCGATCGACACGATCGCAGGTCTCCCTAAGATAGCGTTGTGGACGCATCGAAGGTTGACGACGATGAATTCCATCATGGTTTTGATCGTCCGGGGTCGGTTGCCAATTTCTACCGGCAATGTTATCTTTCCCTCCGGATGGATAGTATCACCAGTGAATCCAGATAATGGGGTCCCGATGGGTAGGGCTGTGCAAACCCGACCCAACCCGACCAACCCGTCCGATCCGAATCCGAAACCACCCCATCCCACCCGCCCGTGGTCCGACTGGCCATATCCGAACCGAAGGCATAAACGACGTCGGATAAAGGAGGTCGGATAGGGTTTGGTTTTTTCCCATCCGACCCGTCCGACAACCCGATCTAACCTAGGGTTATGTTTTATGTGTATGCTAGACGACGTCGTATGAGGTGAGTATATATGCATGTTGAAGCCCTTGTGAAGCCAGATGCGCAGCCCTACTCTTCTGATTCTTCTCTGAGACTCTCTCACTCTCAGAGCTCTTCTCTCGTTCTCTGCTCTCTACTCCTCTCAATCTCACCCTCTCATTCCTTTGAGTCTCTCACAGTCTCACCTCTCTCTAGTCTGTACTCTTTGAGACTGAGAGTCTGACTGTATGAGACTCTGACTCTCTGTGGACTGTGGAGTCTTCGACTGTCCGATTGTCCGATTGTCCGGTGGGCGGTGGTCGACTGGTGGAAGCCCTTCTCGAGTTGGTGGTGGAACGTGGACTGGTGATTAGAGGCCCTTGTTCTCCGGGGAATATTAAGGGGAAACCAAGTAAATCAGAAACCCTAGTTTTTGTTTTTGTGATATGTTGATTCTTTTCTCTCTGTATGTTCATATATGCTCGTATATTATTGTTAGATTATGCGATGTTGTGTTCTATTCTCTGATCTATTATGGTGGAAGCAGAAACCCTAGTTTTTGTTTTTGTGATCTGTTGATTCGTTTCTCTCTGTATGTTCATATGCTCGTATATTATTGTTAGATTATGCTATGTTGTGTTCTATTCTCTGATCTATTATGGTGGAAGCAGAAACCCTAGTTTTTGTTTTTGTGATCTGTTGATTCGTTTCTCTCTGTATGTTCATATGCTCGTATATTATTGTTAGATTATGCTATGTTGTGTTCTATTCTCTGATCTATTATGGTGGAAGCAGAAACCCTAGTTTTTGTTTTTGTGATCTGTTGATTCGTTTCTCTCTATATGTTCATATGCTCGTATATTCCTGTTAGATTATGCTATGTTGTGTTGTATTCTCTGATCTATAAAGGTGGAAGCAGAAACCCTAGTTTTGTACCTGTGATTTGTGTGGACTGTGATATTGTAATCTGTTGAGAAGTTCCAGATTGCATCTCACTTGTCTCTAATTTTGTACTTGTGATTTGTGTGGACTGTGATATTGTAATCTGTTGAGAAGTTCCAGATTGTATCTCACTTGTCTCTAATTTTGTACTTGTGATTTGTGTGGATTGTGATATTGTAATCTGTTGATACTTGAGAAGTTACAGATTGCATTTATTGGTGGAAGCCATTAAATGTTAAAATAAAAGTTAAAGGCTTGAATGTGAAATTATCAAGTTTCAAACTTGAAATTTCCATTTATTGGTGGAAGCCATTAACTGAAATCCAGATAATGATGAATTGGATACAATTCCTGAATCTGGATTTCTTTCATTATTTGAGTATGTTTATGGATGTATTACCCTTAATTGAATATTTGAATGTAAATATGTAAATATGTAAATATGAAAATGTGAAATCTTGATACATGATGACACAAAAAGTGTCTGAATCCAGATTTCTTTGTATGTTTATGTGAATGTGAATATGTGATTGTTGGCTTGTTGCCTTTGCTGAGTAATTGATGCCCATCATTTTAGATGGAAAGCATCAATGTTCCTGACTCTGGACCTCAACCCTCAACTCAAGAGGGACATGGAGGACAAGCCCAAGGCACTGAGACTCCTGCTCAGCAGCCTCAGGTTGCTCCTGCTGTTCCTGCAAAAAAGAGGAGGGTGGTTGAGTCTAGATCTCCAGTCTGGGATCACTTTGAAAAGATCAAAAACTCTGAAAATATAGTGGTTCAAGGCAAGTGCATTTACTGCCTGAAAGTGTTTTTCTGTGAGTCTAAGAAACATGGCACATCATCTTTGAAAAATCATATGATGGCATGCCTTAAAAATCCTGTCTCAAAGGATATGAGACAGTCCCTTCTTACATTCAATACTGTTTCAACTTCTGCAACAGAGGCTCCTGTGGGGGTTTTGGGGACTTGGGTCTTTAATCAAGAAGCCATTAGAAGGGCATTATGTGAGATGATCATAATAGATAAACTCACTTTTAGGTTTGTTGAGGGTCAGGGGTTCAAGAAGTTTATTCTTGTAGCTTGTCCTAGGTTTCAGATTCCTTCTAGGTGGACTATTTCTAGGGATATCTACCAAATCTTCCTAGATGAGAGGTTGAGTCTTAAGAAGTTGTTTAGGGTGGGCACCCAAAGGGTCAGTTTAACCACTGATACTTGGACTTCTGTCCAAAGGATTAATTATATGTGCATTACTGCACATTTTATTGATGACCAGTGGAGGCTTCAGAAAAAAATCATTTCCTTTGTCCCTGTTTCTTCTCATAGGGGGGAGTATATTGCCAAAGCCTTAGAGAGTTGTCTGTTGGAGTGGGGGATTAAAAATGTGTTCACTGTGACAGTGGACAATGCTTCTTCTAATGATACAGCTATGAGATTTTTTAAAAGCAAGTTGTTGTCTTGGGGGGGTTCTTCTGTTAGGGTGCAGTATATGCACATGAGGTGTATAGCCCATATTTTAAACTTAGTTGTTCAAGATGGCTTGAGGTTTGCAGATGAGTCAGTTAAAAGGGTGAGGGATGCAGTGAGATGGGTTAGGAACTCACCTGCTAGGTTGAATAAGTTCAGAGAACTTGCTGAACTCATTGGGGTGGAAGCCAAATCAGCTTTGCAGCTTGATGTCCCTACAAGGTGGAACAGCACCTACCTTATGCTCAACACTGCAATTCAATATCAAAGTGTCTTTGACTCATATCATCAAAATGATCCTTCTTTTTTCTGCTGACTTGGGTTCTGCACCTTCTTTCCTTGATTGGGAGACTGTTGAAAGCTTAATGAAGCTTTTGAAAACTTTTTATGAAATGACTGTGAGAATATCTGGTTCTCTTTATGTCACTTCTAACACATTCTTCTCTGAGATCTCTGATCTCAGTTGCATGCTGGAAGATATGACTAAAGCTGAGAGAACTGAAGAGGTAAAAAACTTGTGCAATTTATTTGTGTAATTCTGTATATCTTGTAAGTTGTTTACTTGTTTGTGTTTTTAAATGCTTATGGTTTCTGAGTTTCTGCATTTATTAGGCAATGGGGACAAAAATGAAAGAGAAGTTTGATAAGTACTGGGGAGATCCAGAAAAAATGAACCATATCATTTTCTTTGCCAATATTCTGGACCCTAGAGATAAAGAGGAGTACATGCCTCACCAGTTTGTCCAGTTGTATGGAGAGGCCAAAGGCAAAGAATGTTTTGCCAAGGTCCAAAATTCAATGGTTGCATTGTACAATGACTATGCAGCTACATACTCTGACAGTTCATCCTCTAACCAACCTGTCCAGTCTCAGCCTACTACTTGTACAGTTGGTAGGCCTGTCTCAAGGATGAAGAGTGAACTTAAAAAAAAGAGATTGGAGAGTGGTGGTGGAAGCAGTAAGCAGACATAGCTACAAATATACTTGAGTGAAAATCTGGTTGAGGATGATGAATCTGTGAGTTTTGATGTTCTAAAGTGGTGGAAGAATCATAGTGAGAGATTTCCTATTCTCTCCAAAATGGCTAGGGATGTACTTGCAGTTCCTATTTCCACAGTTGCATCTGAGAGTGCATTTAGTATAAGTGGGAGGGTGCTTGATGCATTTAGGAGTTCCTTGACTCCTAAAATTGTGGAAGCTTTACTGTGTACCCAAGATTGGTTGAGGTTACATAATCAGCCAATCACACTTGAGGAAAATTTAGATGAGGTTGAAAGATTGGAGAAAGGTAAATATATAATTCTTAAATCATTTCTTTTTTACTTTTGTAACTTGTAAGTCTAGAACTAACTACTTATACTTAACTGTTTTGCAGAGTTACCCACTGGAGCTGGAACTACTCTACCATCAATGCTGCCATCCATTCCTGTAATGTTTTCAGTAATTATTACTTGTTTAACTAATTATTTATCTTTATATGTTATGGTGTTGTACTGTTGTTTGCTGATGGCCTTCACAAGATGAAACTCTAAGAGTCTTAACAGTCTAAGTGGTTTGGCAACTTTCTATAATTATATTATAGAAATGTTGCCCCACTTAGAGTTGAGCAGTATTCACTATTCAGTACTGATGTCCCATACTCCCATTACATCCATCTGGATCTCTGGTATTACTCTCATCCTCTTAATTGATCTCTGTTCAGTTTTAATGCATTATTATTTATTCTTACTTCTTTTTTTGGCAATGATGATGCTTCCACCACTGTCTGAACAAATGGTATAGTGTTGCTATGTTGCTCATGTGCTATAATAACACATTTGAGCAATTTGCCACTATCCTTGCTTGAAATGGAAAATTGCAATCTGAGCCTATAAGGCTATTAGCCTAATGCCCCTACAGCATAATATTGTTACTTAGTTAGCTGTTTAGTACATAGGTTGTCTAATAATCTAATATTGTGTTAAGTTTTCATATTAACAGGAAGAAGTGTAGAAATGGTGATTGATGATTTGATGAAAAGACCTAGACTGGATTACTGGAATGATTGCTGTCTTGCTGAAGTTTAACTGTTTAAGTGATTAACTTCAAATTTTTGATGTTTTGGAAGTTAAACACTTAAACTTATATTCATTTTGTATTGGTTTACTTTTTGCAATTTTGTTTGTAAAACTTAAATTATTTAGCTTTGCAAACTGTCCATTAAAAAGTTGTTGCATGTTTTAGTTTGTTAACTTATTAGTTATTACTTATTTTGTTAATAGAAACTTGGTAGATTAGATATTATCATATTAAATTAATCATATTATGTTTTTTCAGTTTTTAATTTTCAATTTTCAATGAACTTTTCCAAATCCGAATGTGGTCCGACATCCGATCCGAATAATCCGAAATCCGACATAGCATATCCGATAGGGTTTTAGTTTCAAAAAAGTCGGATAGGACTTCAAAATTTCAATTCGCAATCCGATCGGATGAACGGAAAAACCATCCGATCCGATCCGATCCGTCCGTTGCACAGGGCTACCGATGGGTGTTAACTCGATTGGTTCTAATTTTAGCTTCTGGAAGACGTCCATGTACAAGACATTCACGCTGCTGCCCGTGTCCACCATGACACGTTGGACGTCGGTCCCCATGATGTCGATCGTGACGACCAATGCTTCAGTGTTACAGTCCTCTCCCTTCGGCATATCGCTCGGGGTAAACGTGATTGGTTCTAGCTTTTGTCTCTTCTCACTAGGCTCAGATCCTATTAGTCCGATTTGGAATTTCTCCCGGGCATTGGAACTTTCCTCCGGGCCACCGAATATGACGTGGATGACTTGTTTTCCAGTCGACTGTCGGGGCTCGGTGTCCCGGTCGTGATCTTTGTCTTTTTTGTTCTTATTTGATTTCTTGAACGGGTTTTTCCAAGACGATTTTTTCTCGTCCTTCTTGTTGGTGAACTCAGTGAGCTTTCCCGATCGTAACAACTCCTCTATGACTTGCCTGAGGGTCGTGCAGTCTTCCGTTTCGTGCCCTTTGCTGCGATGGTACGCGCAATACTTTGTCTTGTCGCGACCCTCGCGCTGTGGTTCCGGCAACTGGATCATGTTGCAAGATTGGGCAAATCGAAGGACGTCGACTGCCGGTCTGTTCAAGGGGGTAAAGTCGGGTGCTCTTCCTCGCCCTCGGCCGGATCTGTCGTTCGTCCTCCCCTCCTCTTGTCGGCCCTGCGGTTTTCGGCTGCTGCCGGCCTCTTGTTGGCGCTTGGCGAAATTGGCTTCACCAGCATTAGCATAGTCAGTTACCCTTCGGATTGCCTCATCGTAGGTAGCCGGAGGGTGTAGGATGAATTCTTGGTATAGGGCCCCGGCACGCAAATTGGAATGCAACACGTTGATCGCTGTCCGGTCGTCGAGGGGTTCAACCACGCCGATCGCTGCCTTCCATTTGACGAGGAAGTCCGTCAAGGACTCACCTTCTAGTTGCTTGGCCTTTTCAAGGTAAGTGAAGTGTTTCCGGACTTCTTTGGAGGTGGCGAATTTGTGCACGAACTTTTTCGCCAACTCCGCGAAACAGGCGATTGAACTGGGCTCCAATGTTTGGAACCAGTCTGTTGCCCTCCCTGTCAAGGTTGAGTAAAACGCTCGACACATTACTGCGTCGGTTACTCCCATCATCAGCATGTTTCCATAGTAGGAGTTAATGTGTGCTTCCGGGTCGGTTTTTCCATCGTAACCTTTATTCCCCGGTATTCGCAAGTCGTGAGGGTAGGGGAGGCTCATTACATCTGCCGTAAAGGGGTTGCGCAGTAGGGGCGCTTCAGGTTCGGACGACCGGTGGCCATGCTCACGCCTCCATTTACTAAATTCCTCCCGGACTTGCTGCAACAGTCCCTTAGCTTCGTTTCGCGGATCCTCTCGGTCAGCAGCCCGTCGAGCCATTCTCCTAGATCTGCAGCTGCTGACTTCTCCGAACTCTTCTTGTCGGGGCGCTGAGAGGTTTACAGATTCCTCCATATCTTGCCGGGCTCCGATTCGCTGATGCACAGACGGCTGGAGACGAACGAAAGCACTCATGCGCGCGGGGACTTCTTCAGCCCCCCGCTCGTGAGCTGCTCCAGGTCCTAGCCTCGACCGGGCCGGTCGGCGCTCAGATTGGGCCCGCCGGAGCTCTGGTGCCGCTGCTGACGCTGACGCCACTGACTGGCCCGGCTCGGGCGCGTTCGGCGCATTCGGCATTGGCATG